GTTTTCTCTATTGGATCTCTCTCTTCATTGCTAAAAAGCTGAAATAATTGAAATATTCATCAATAGTGGTTAGTCAATGAGATTAGCCTATGGGGACTTTAAGTGACGGTTGATTCCCTCCCATATTCAAGTTAATTACCATTTGTGTAGGCTAATTTTGAGAAAATTTATATTTTCAAAATATATTTTTCTCTTTCATATTTTCAACCACACGTTATTTAATAAAATAACATTACACGCAAATTAAATTTTTTTTCCTGATCTTTTAACCACGACAAAAAATGAGAGTCAAACTAGCTCGTAGACTGACGTGTTTCATGAGAAATGCTTGGAGCACTTTTTTGGTTTGACTACCTCAAATTAAATCTTCTTGTCTGCGCTTCAACTTAATTGGCATGTGGACTTGTGACCTCGAATCATGTCAACTTGATAGTCATGATCCTATTTGAATTTTGGTGTAGTACAAAAACGTAAAATAAGAGTATGAACAATCAAATAAAGTTTGATGCGTAAATGTTCTAAAAAAAGTGATGATAGTTAGCATTATTGATGTTACAATACTAGTTTAGATAATACTGAATATCTTTAAATGAATTATATAATTTCACCTTTAATCGAGAATATCACATATAGTGTAGATTTGTACGGTAGCACAAGTGATGTTGGAAAATTTCAATGATGTTAATTGGTAATCTTAAATGCTGCTGGTCAATGAATCACCTCACGTGGCTCAGAATTTCTAACTGTGGAACATTGGGGTTGTACTATCATATGTTTGGAAGTTGAGGTATGTTTGACCAATTGAATATTAATTTGACTTGTGGTTTGAACTTTAAAAAACCGAAAGGTTCATTTGACTTTGTACTTTGACATCATATTGAAGTTTCGACTTCAATCTCAAACCATATAGTAAAAACAATCGTGCTATGAGTACAGAATTTTTTGATCGAAAATCTTTACAGACAACACATAGCACGACACAATGGAAAAAAAATAGTCCAATCGAGCACTGTCACATCAATTTCAGTACAAATACGGAAAGAGTTTTTCCTATACCCACGGCTTTACTCTGGTGAAAAATGGCATTTTTACGAAACGTAATATTGAAGTCGTATCGGCCCGTACGAGTGGATCGATACCTACTTTTGTAACACTCAATTTAATAATATAAATATTTACTGACAAATTAAATCTGAGCCACTTAGATCTAGATCTAGGATCAAAAGGTTAATTAAGAAAATGTGGACCACTAATCATTACCTTAATCTAATGGTCGAAAAGTGTCAGCATTTCCAACCACCTTTCACAACCACTGATTGGCTAATTGGAGAGTGGTGCACAATCACCCATCTGCCAGCACAAAAAAGTGCCACTTAGAGATGAGACATCAACATCATTTAGCGCATACGCTTGTTCAAGCTTAAAATATTACTTACAAGCAATAAGTAAGTTTTAAATTATATTTTATCAAATTTAAAATAAAAGTAATTTTTTACTTCATCAGTATAAAAAGAAAGTAACTTTATTAGTTATAAGTAACAAAAATGGGAAGACTACAATACCAATTTAAACTATGTTGAAATCATTTAGTCCATGTTTGGTCCCAATTCTTTAGAATTCATTATTCACTTAACTCATTCTAACGACACGTTTTATGAAACTCACAACTTTTATTAACTTTTAAATTAAGGTCCTGTTTGGGAGGGATTAAATTTTTCTACAGTAAATCAATTCTCATTTTCAACCACACATTCTTCAATAAAATAATATTTTCCATCACATCAATAATTTTTTCTTCTTTTTCAACAACACATTTCCCATCATA